AATGTGACAACATGCCCCGTAGGTGTATCAAAGCATTAAAAAACGATCTGGTCTGATAATTAACAGATTGGAGATGAAAATAACAGCAGATTTGACTAATTTTAAATGAATAATAAAAACTGAGATGAAAAATTTACTTAAGCCAGAATTTTTATTTTACTATGGTAAAATAAATGTTCAGCGATATCTTCAAAAGATTTTTGAATTTTGGCGCACATTTCTTTCTATATAATGTTGATATGGTAACTAATAAATACTGTAAATTTTGTTATGCTAGCATGTGTGGAAATATTCAAACCACGTGTGTTACAACTAACCCGCGTTACTTTGTGCCCCGCGCTCCCCTAGACTCTACATTCTGTGATTGTAAATTTATGAGATTTTTGGAAGTTTTAATAGTCTGTTATAGGAGAACCGTAAATCCGACCAGTTGAAAAGGTGTTGCACCAATAACGCTTAGATCTAGATGAATTAAACACAAAACTTACTTTTTTTTTCTTTTTAAATAAGCAGACCTACATTTTTTTATTAAAATTGTAAGACAGAGTTAGCCTACTTTAATCCTGTTGCTCCATTACTTTACACTTTATTTAAATCTTAGGACAGTGCTGCTCTGTCACCAGCGGAGGCAGCCACTCTCTGCAGCGAATCATACCTGTTGTTTTTTGTTATCTGTCTTTTTTTAGGGGTTGTTATTGTTAAGATTTTCAAAGATAAATGACCTAAAAGTGACTGGGCAGACCAAACCGTAAGTTTAAGTTAAGGCGTAGAGACTTGAAACTTTGAGGGATGGTAGTACCCACTCCATCTAAGACACCAAGGCTCGCCCCGATCAGCCTGAGGGGGGCACTACAGCAATCAAAAGTAAATCACTCATAACTCCTAAACCGCTTGTTGCAAACTCAAGTGTCTTATATCATGGGAATCCCTGACTCAAGACGAATAAAACGCATGATTCGAGGAAATTTCGACTGTTTTGGATTTAAAAATAAAAATAAAAAAAAACCTTTTGCAAAAAAAATAAATAAATAAATCAGTTTTTCGTCCGGTCGGAACCAAACCAGTGCAGAAAATTTATCTGGATAGTGAATATCAATAATTATCAATTAAAGTATAGTTTTCGACTCACCATAAATGCTCGAAAGAGGCTGGGACACTTTTCCTAAAACGGCTCTAACTTTTCAACGGAATGAGATATTTACACCAAACTCTATACACATATGTAAGACCTAAATCTGAGGTTACATGAGAAAAATCGCAGAGTTTGGCCACTATAATAGGAAAAAAACATACAAATGGCTACGCATCTGTTTTTCAGACTGACTTGAAAATTCACATGCAATGTCTGTGTCCAAAGTGCCACGGCTCTCTATGAGCACATTCATGTATCTCAAAAAACATGGCTGCCATCAGCCAATGAAGTTTGAGCACCTATTAGATGAGGTTAACGGAGGCCGATCGGAACGAAACGTGGTGGGCCTGTTTGACTTATGGCCCTAAAGCTCTGTGAGAAATTTGAAAGAAATCGGCCACTGGTGGGCGACAATGCATATATAATAACATGCAGCATGTTATTATAAAATATTATAAAATATATAGACAAATGTACATAAAATAAATAAATTTAATGAGTAGTTTTTGAGAATTTATTCTTCACATTTTGGCACAATGTATTTTTGTCTACAAAACTAATTCAAACATAAGCATAATTATCAAAAGGTTTTCATAATTATGTATGAGAAGTAAATTCAGTCAAATATGTCTAAACATTTTTGCATTATAAGAGTCAGGGTAACAGTAATGTTGGAAAAACAATTAGGCCTATAGCCTATTGCACAAGAAAAAAAAGGGCTAGATCAATTTGAACATTATCTTTGTTTACAATGTGCAATGTATGTGACATGTACCATGGTCTTGTTCTCAGGGGAGGATTTAGGGGCTGGGGGCCACTCAGGGGCGTAGATTACGCGGGGGACGCGGGGGACGTGTCCCCCCCCTGGACTTGAGTTTATGTTTGGGTCCTACCTATGCTAATGACATCAACTAGAACATCAAGTAGCACAAAATGCACACAAATTAAAATATGTTTTGAGGCTCCTAGAACAATTAATATGCCTAGACTAAAAGTTTAGAGGTAATATTAGAAGTATTTTTAAATTTATTGTCATATCTGTGTCCTCTTATATTGTTGAATTTAATAAATGAATTCAATCAGAATAAAAAGACAATGCATGGCTATTACCAATCAAATTAAATCAGTATCAACAAAGTTCATCTTTGAATTTACACATACTGTTTAATGTAGCTCAGACATGGCATGAATGGATTTACATATTTTACACATATTGTTCAAAGACGCTGACTCTTTGAGGAACAAAACTCATAAATCTGAGCACTGAATCACATCTTGTAACATTTATACTGGTATTTAACTGAACTGAATCAACATTAAACGGACTCGTGCTGAATAACAACATTGCCTATTGTAAACTGCCTATAGCTGATCTGTTAACTTCACACTGTCATTATGAACTGTCTTTTAGAGCTGCTTTACTGCAGAAAGTCTCCATAGCTGAGTTTCCATAATGACTTCTGCTATTTCCTGTTTATTTCTGTGAAGCTGCTTATTTATTGAACTATTGTATAAAATAAATGTCACATTTGAAATGTTTGGAAAAACAGAATTCTTGCCTGTGCATAACTCCTATTTCATAGGCTTATAAAAAAAAAAAAACAGAAACTCATTAAATAGCCATTTTTTAATCATTGTGATGACATTTCTGCCCGAGTATAAAGAGCAATCAAATCTTCAGATCTCATAATTTAGTGCAGGGGTGTACAATCAAGCTCCTGGAGGGCCTATGTCCAGCAGAGTTTGGCTCTAACCAGTATTTCCAATATTATCAATATTTTTCTAAATATGCACATTTTTTTCTCGGCTACAATCCTTAATGGAGCTGTTTAAAGTAGCCATGTGATCATAAATAAATGGGAGCAGGCACGATTCAATATGTGTGGCCTTTTTCTGTCAGGGATAGACAACGTCGGTCCTGGAGTGCTGCTGTCCTGCAGAGTTTAGCTCTAACCTTAACACGCCTGAACAAGCTAATCAATGTCTTTAGGATTACTAAGGCTACAGGCAGGTGAGTTTTTTTTTTCAGGGTTGGAGCTAAACTCTGCAGGACAGCAGCACTCCAGGACCAACATTGCCTATCCTTGTTGTATGTGAAATAATGACAAATACCAGTTTGACAGTGGAAAAGTGGCTAATAATTTCTGACTAGCGTATAACTGAACAAATCAAACAAATGTGAGCGGGAAAGGCCCCCTACTGGACAGGGCCCATGGTCCTCAGCCCAATCAAGCCCAATGGTAAATGCTTGTTTTATTGCACTATGAAATGTTAAGTTGCATGGAACACTTTATTCTGACTGGCCAATTGTGTCATTCAGGGGTTCACACATTTCTGAATAATCGCTGATGTCCAGGACAATGCTTATTTGGAAATCTATGTTTCATAAATAACTGATCTTGTGTTTTGTCTCTCAGCATTCTCTACAAATAAGCAACTAAAATAAGTACAATATATACAGCCATGCAGATGTTCAGAAGAACAGCACAACTGAGAGTGTAATACAGTTTTCATACAACAAGAAATTAAGATTTGTATCTTACATATCCGAGCCAGTAGGCTACTGTGTTTTCGTTTGTCTGTCAAGAAATCAGTTCCAGATTAAGACAAAGCAGGATCAATGATTTAGTGTCTCCATGCAACACAGTAATGGTGTTTAGTTTCTGAATGAATCGGTGTTTCAGTTGAGAGAATAAACAATGACTTAATTAATAAAACACAAAAGACTTGTGGGGCATTATGCCAATTATAAATAATTGCTCTAATCAGTAGGCTATTTAATCTTTCAGTTTATTTATTGAATTGACTTGATAAGTTGCCATGTAATAAGTTTAATAATACAATGTTATTTTTAGGGGTGTGCCCGAAGCCGAATAGCCTACCTTATTCGGAAAGTTTTATTTGTGTATATTTAAAAGGCAATGATTTAAACCTTATAGGCTACTATATGATACACGAATGAATGGAATAAGCACAGCGTGATCATCAATCAAACAGCCGTGTTGCCGTCTCATTTGTCAAGCTGCATGGCATGACTTTATTTATTGCTGTCCAGTTAAAATAAAAAGGTGCCTCTTTTTATTGTAGTAGCCTACATATTGCTGCCTTTAAGTGTACTCCTGCCAACCAGTAAACATGTCAACCTTCATAAACTTCTGACGTCCTGGGTGCTAACAGCAATTTAGAAAATGTCAGCCATTTATATCAATGGAAATGAGAGATGAAGGCCGTAATACTAACGTTGTCCACCAGAGGGAGGCACAAAACAACAAATTATTTTAGATCATACAGTTTTACAATCTGTGTAAATGGTTCAATAGATTAACTATGCATACAATTCATTATAGTTTCATAAAGTTTAATAATGGCTAAAACAATCTAAGTCTAATCTGTGATCTCCAAAATGCCTTCATATTTATATATCCTAAATAAATTCAGAAAACATTTGTCAAGTCAGGCATGACTGAATTTGTGGTCCAGTTAAAATGAAGAGACAATATTATTTGTCTATTGTAATATAGTACATAAAATAATACTTCCACAGAAAGACATTTAAATACTCGTATTGTTTGAAAAGGGACGGCTATTATACCATAACTGGCGTTCGTGCTTGACCCCGATGATGGCCGCTTGTGGCTAGATTTATTTCGGAAAGAAATGTAACGTCTGCTTTAAAAAATATATTTTTTTTTGCACTTTAAAGTTACATGAGCACTCTTATATTTATATAACATAAAACACTTAAAGAAACTTAAACTTGTGCCATTGTATTAAACATCATACAAATTGAAAACATTGAAAACGGTGGTCTGCGTAAAGGTCGGTGAAAATAAATGTGATCATCTGAAATTTTAGTGTGCAGGTCTGATGTTGGATGCGTTGTGTGTGTGAGAGTGTATGCACAGGGGAGGAGGGCACCAATCCTCCCAAACTCCTACACAAGCGCCTCCAACACCTAATCATTAAAACACACACGCACCCTATCTCCACGGATACTAAACTTATACACAACACCGCGTCCATCGAAGCATCGGGCTTGAACATCATCACACACCACGCGTGAGTATGACCAGATGTAATGGATATATAGGAGCGCGAACGTCAATTGTTGCCCCTTTTGTTTAGGGGCTTAAGCGGGGGGCCATGTTGTGAGTTTATCAGCCAAAGGAAACGGGGCTTTATAAATGGATTCTTGTGAAATATCCTCGTCGTTGGGTTCATAACAGTGAGGTCGACGTGTAACGTTAGAGATGTATAATTATTTGTAAATGGTTATTTGTAAATGATTAATTGGTTGTAAAACGAACTTTTAGAGGTGAGAGGCCTGTGTGTTGTTTTATCAACAAAGCGTCTCGCGCACTAGCAGAAACAAACACATTGAAGTCAGACTTGCAGGAATTTTTTAGTACACATTTGGATTTGCTATTCAGTTGCAATGTCGCATATCAGTTCAATGACGCTATTGAATTTTAAATATAAATAAATCAGGTTTTGTTTTAAAACAAGCCCTCTCTTGCGCTGACTGTTAGCGAGGTGCTAGCTGGCAGAGTGACGGGCCCTGCGATGCTAACAAACAACAGACAGACCGATCAAATATAAACCAAACTGAGATCAAATATTTAAGGATTTACGTTAGTTGTGAGCTCGAAGCATCCAAGGCAAAACAGCATTATTTTACATCTAAGATAAATCCCACATTCACCGCCGTCCGTCGTTTATGTGTTAGCCGTTAGCATTCTGCTATCCCTGTACACCCAAAACATTCACATAGAAACGCGTGATTTTAGGCCTTTATTAAAACGCATTTACTTTGTCTAAAATCTTATGCGTTTAAATGATCCTGCTTTTAAAAAACTGAGTAAGCAAGGTTTTGTTATTGGACACATTTTTGAAGATAAGAAATTATTCTGTGGCTTTGTTCTCTTTGACAATTTATGTAGTTTTATTTGTCTGTATTTGTTTGCATAGCTTAGTTATATTTGTGAACCCTACACACATACATTAATAGGATACAATTTAGTCAATTAATTAATCATTAACATTAATCATTAATTAATCCCATGGAGGCAAATAAACTTTTTAAATGGCATTTAACTTAACTGGAACTTAAAACAGCACGTTTTTCTGTAGGTTTTTCCGTGGAATGAGCATTCCATGCAGCATCTTAGGTATGAATGACGTGGCCTGGCAGGAGACGCGAGGCGGGATGCTGCACACAAATGGTGTGCCAGAGACCGGAGGGGTGAGAGTCCATGCGGGGGCTTCACTAGCCTCAGTGGGTGGTGCTGGGCAGGGACCTGGAGGAGCTCACCCTCTGCCAGGGATGGACCGGGTGGCAAATCCCAATCCCGGCACCCCACAGCCTCCACTGAGCGGTCGTTCCCAAGATGATGCCACTGTGGGCTATTTTTTTCAAAGGCAGCCTGGGGAGCAGTTGGGTGGCTGCACTGCAAGCAAACACCGCTGGCCCACTGGTGATGGAAACCATGTTGACCAGGTAAGAAAGACCTCAGCCTAACCCTAGTACAAAGGAATGGAAACACTGTACTCTGTGATCCTTAAATAGTCTTTTTTGACATCTTTTGAATTCTTGTTCTATATGCCTGATAAGAGTTTTTGGTATATTAACTATTGTTACACTGAAAATTTTAGTGGGTGTCTTCTGTAAATCATGACAAAAAAATGTATGGTAGTCATTTTTGGCTCAGAAAAAAAAAATGTAACAGGACACATTCTAATGTATGAAAAAAACTATTTAAAGCAGTATTGTTTTGGTGCTTGAAAACTATATATATATATATATATATATATATATATATGCATGTATGTATGTTGTGTACAAAGCTGAAAAAAGTGTCAAATGTCTCTTTGTGTAGGTGCGCACTGTGGATGAGATGAATTATGATTTTCAAGCCTTGGCTCTGGAGTCTCGTGGAATGGGTGAGGTATGTTATTAGAGTCTTTTAAAAGCCATGCTATTATGATTCTGAGTCTAATAATCCTATTGCATCCTTTTTGACCAGTATCACAAGTGTTGAGTTCCGTATAATATTTTAACGTATGTTAACTCCACTAGTTTTTTCCTGTTGTTTGGATGCATATACTTTGCAAAAAGTGATTGCCACGTTGACCTTTTTTGCAGCTTCTTCCTGCAAAAAAATTGTGGGAATCAGATGAATTGGCAAAAGATGCACGTAAAGGGATGTTGCTGGGTGAAGAATGGAGAGAGAATGCCTGGGGTTCTTCCCGTAAGTTCTTCTAAAATGCTACCATGTTTTGATCATGAAATATAACTGATGAAACATTCATGCTGAGATAAAATTGGAGAAGTTTGACAAATTATGCTTCAGAGAAGGCTCACTTTAGTTTATAGGGCCTTTCGCACCGTGTGAACCTTTTCATAGTACCAGAACTAATTGTGGAACTACTCACTTTTTGGCGTTTTCGCACTGCCGGAACTGGGTGCGATTTTAGTACCGGACTGCCTTTTTCGAGAACCAAATTAGCTCCTACTCCTCCGGCTTATGTCACTTAGTACACATTCGGTGCGAATGCAACCCTTTAAATGGTACTGGGAAATAGTTCGCGCAAAATCGTCCCAGTACTTTAGTACTGTACATTTAGTTCTGGAACTAAAGCGGTGCGAAAGGCCCTTATGCTAAAGGTGTACCAAATATTTGTAGCTATGTTTTTTTTTGTCTATAATTTAATTTCTCCAAATAGTTAGCACTTAGTACATCGGAGATTGTTTCAAAGCAGATTCACAGTATTAAACAGGAAAGAGACAGAATCAATGATACAAACTTCAAAAATGATGCACATACAAAATTCTGCTATAAAGCAGCTGTGGCAAGTAGTGTTGTCAAAAGTACTGGTGCTTTGTTACCAAGTCGATACCTACATTTTTAAATTGTAACGAGTTTAGGTTGTACAGGGTCAACCCAGTACCGGGCTGATAGGTGGCTGCTTTCAAACATTCCCGTATTTGTGTGAGCACTCTATGAAGAGCGAATTGTTTTTTTAATTAAACTTCTTTTTTTCTGCTTTCCATTTTTAACAATAACTGATAAAACTTTAAATACAGACCAGTTGTGAGCTCTGAGGTTGTTAATTAGTTGTATATGCTTTTCTTTAACCCATCTATTCACATTAATTCAACTTATTTTTAAAATAATTGTGTTTAATAGAATTTGTGGAATTGGAATTTGTGGTGGAAAACTACATTACCCATGATTCTGTACAGAAAATCCCCCCCAGTCAGAGAATCACAGCCAGTAAAGCATGCCAAATATTTTTTGCAGTTATAATATATTAATATATATAACTTCTAATATATTGTTTCTATAGATATAACCAATAACCTTTAATAAATAGTTTTATATTTCTCCATAATCTTTAATTTGATTAATGTAATTTGCAGTGCTTTATGTGATTGTTGTTCTTTCACTCACTAAAGCAGTTAAGTGCACAGTCTTGTACCTTTGTCTTTTGGTCTGATTTTCATTTATTTTTAATTCAAATAAAATGTTGTAATGTTGTGATTCTCCTTGTAGCTGGTTGGCTTGGTTCATATAACTCTTATAATATAAGCTTATAAGTCTTTAACTAAGACTTTAAAATCCCTAAAACTGTGACCTGTGCTGGCAAAATGACTTGCAATGAGCAAATTTTAAAAAAGGAGTTATTTTTATGTTCACATTCTCCATTAAAAGACCTTCAGAATGATGTATGATTTGTTGGAATCGGACGAAAAATGACTGATCATGACTTGATGTCGATAGAGTCAGCAAAGTCAATATTGAGAAAAATCAAGTTAGTTTTCTGAAGATTCCAAAGCAAAATCACGGAGCAACGTTGCATCTTTTCCTCCAGTTCTTTTCTTAATAATAATTACTGTATTAATAATCACAATATAGCTATATTTATTTTATCTTTGTTATTATAAATAAGAACAGATGCAAAAATAAAAGTAGAACAAATACAAGAAAGAAACTAATAATGCATTACCTTTTTCATTTTACATATAAACAAAAGCATTCAAGTAAGAAAAACAAATAATCAAATGTAAAAACCCCTTTAGTCTGTTAATTACAAATAAATTGATTGTTAAAACTACAAAAGCAGTTCAATCAAGAGCAGCGAGTGATTCACTCTTTTCTTTTATTGATAGATTAACATTAATGAGGCGGCCTATATATTAAGACCTACTGTAATGCACAGATCTAATATAATGTTACATATCAGGGCCCGTATTCACAAAACATTTTATCTTACCACTAAGAGTTCTCCTAAATAGAGGTAAAAGTTTTTTTACTAAGAGTTTTCTCTTAACCTATTCTCAAAGCTTCTGAGACAAACTTTTACTAAGGAATAGAGAGAAGTCTTAAGCTAAGAGTAAGGGCGGGGTTGACCTCGTTGCTATGGATTATGTCAGCATGCTTACTAACTATGCCCACAGTGGTTGGCTGATAGGGGAGGGGTCTCTGTCAGAGATTTATTCATAGAAATATTGTAGATATTATGTTGCCATATTGAGATAAAGGTTTAAAAATAAAAAAAAATGCTCATTCAAATAAAGATTTAAAAATGCAGGCTAAGTGTCACAAATTAAACAAGTATATGTTCAGTTAATTGTCAGCCTCTTACATGTGTGCTCCTCGTAAACA